GTCACTGAAACGGCGATGACAATTCGTTAGGCACTGTCCACACTCGCTTTAAAGGTATTATCTTCTATGAATTTCAACCAGCCTCAGCCTCAGCCGGTACAGCCACCTATCGGAAAACGGCGGAAGCAAAGCTGTACACCTGATATTTATTCATTATAAACTATCTTGTTTGCTACAGATATAATAAACTTATGCCAGCGTTTCTTCCTATCCTCGCAGCACTTCTGAAACGCGTTTTTTGGTATCGCCAAATGCACCTGTTACGGTTCTTCTTTCAACTCCTCAATCGTGGCAAAACGTTTTCCTTTCATCGATGTCTTCAGTCTTGGGAAGAGGAAAAAGTTAGTGGGGGCAAGTCCAGCGAATACGGCTTTGTTTTTAGCCAAAAACTCACGCCCAAGCAACGAAGTGTGAGCTGGTGCGTTATGACGGTGCAAAATCCATGATTGTTTTGTCCACAGTTCTATACCTTCACATTTGACCGAACTTTTGAGGTGCCTTTTTCGGTCTTGGCTCTTCTGGACACTTCCATGGGAATGATTGGGCTTTGGCTTCTATGAAATCTAGATCTAGTTTACGATGCTCAACATCTCCTGAGCGATGTCCATGCGATTTTGTTTCTGCTCAAAATTTAGAAATTTTGGAATAATCTTTGCTACCGCATGTTTCATTCCTAAAACATTCGTAAAAATCGCTTGGCATGAGCCGAACGATTTGTCAACATCATTAGCAAGCTCTCTCTCTCTCTCTCTCTCTCTCTCTCGCTCTCTCTCTCTATCTCTCTGATTCGACGTTTATCCAAAATCATTTTCTTCACTGCTTCAATGTTTTCATCGGTTGTTGACGTACTCGGGCGACCGGTACGAGCATTGTCATTGACATCTTCTCGTGCTTGCTTAAACCACTTTTACCACAATTGAATTTGTGTTCAGCTCATAGTAGACTCGACAAACGCCACAGTCAACATTTCAAATATCCTTGCGCATTTCATTTCATTTTTTACACAAAAGTTAATACAGTTTCTTTGGCGCAATATTTCGAACAGCAAAAAATCGTAGAGCACACCAAAACACTGCTAACCTCCTTATCTGTCAAAAACAAACTGAAAGGATTCGATTATGTGATTCTTAATTAATTATTTGATGTCATGAATCACCTCTAGATGGTTGGGGTAACACTTACCTTTCGCGGTGGCTCACATAAAAATAGTCCAATGCAGCCGAATTTCAGTTTGAGTTTTGAATTCAAGGCGAGAAAACAAAATATATATAAAAATCTTGTAATCCATGTCTTTCTCTTCAACATTTGGTAACAAATAGTCACCGCAGGCATTTCCTAGTTTTCGAAGAAAAACGGAACAATGATGCCACCTGTCACACAGTCACAGTTTTGCTTATTGATGAGGTGAGCATAAGATTCATTGTTAAAGTTGAACTTTCGTTAAAAAAGCTCATTTCCTACCAAGAGATCTTCAAGCTATTTATTGAAGCGAAAAAGCATCGGGTACATATACATATATATATGGATGATTAATAATTGATGTTGATCGCCATTCCATGACGCTTTGAGCTATATTTTCTTTATAAAATCGCTTCAGCAGTTACAAAGCGTCAATTATAAATTATATATTAGGTATAGTAAAAAGAAATTCATTATTTTTACCGTAGATGACGTTATTTATTTGTATCTCGAGTTATATAAGTCCTATCGTGTTTTGCTTGATGGCGTTAGAAAGACGATATTACGTACTAAAAAAGGTCCTCTCACAGTTTTGTGCTTGGTTGCTTCAGTTTTGTTTGAGCGAGCGTTAAAGCTGGACAATAGCAAAGAGAAAATGGGCTTTGTTTTACAGTTTTTCTTCGATAAGAATGAAAACGCAAGCCACACGACTGAAAATGTGAATAGCGTTTATAGTGTTTAAAGTCAATCAAGAGCAATTTTGATGTAAAGAATGCTTCACGGATTATCGAAAATATCGATAAAATCATGGACATAGTTGAGTCCGACCTTCATAAAAACACTGTTTCGATTGCGCCTTTGGAACTATATGAATAAGACTGGCAGTGAAAAGTAAAAAATTAAACGATTCAGTCCAAAGCCTAAACCATTGATTCTAGAGATTATGTGGACTTGGAAACGATTTTATTGAATAATTTTAATTAATCTTTTGATTTATTTTTACAGTGGTAGCTTTGGGCTTGAATTAATATTGGAAATCATTTTTTTATGGGAAGTGGGTCAACGTCGGAAACCCCTTTTCTTCCAACGAAATACTCCTGGCATCCAATATATGATTTTCGGGACCGAAACTATATTTATATATATGATTTATGGTTTGATTTGTTTGAAATTTGTAGCATGGAAAGCACTTCCCTTAGGTCAAAAAGTGTAAAACTTTTGTTTCTTTTTCATACTTTTCAACGTAAAAAGTAATAAATTAAAATTCCATGCGGACGAAATCATGACTGATTGACGCATTAACCCACCACCTAAAGTATTGATAGTAGAGTGCTGAAACTTGGGAGGTTTATTCTGTGTAAGGCGTAGGTATTCGATAGGAAAACCTAAACTAGTGACCGGTTTATTGGAAAAAAAATTGAATTTATTTTAAAATCCTTTGATTTAGATGAAATCTTTTACAGTGGTAGTTCTTTGCAAAAATTGAGAAGGATATTTCGAAAATTTATATTTATGGTTTGATCTGCTTAATGATTTGAACATAGCTATCTCTTTGTCTAGATTAACATAGAAATATATGTGAATACTTGTATACAATTTGTAGCTTTTCTTTTCGTGAAGCGGTCGTGGGATGGATCTGTTTGAAAAAATTTGGGTTATGGTTTGATTTGTTTGTAATTTGTTCCTTTGCCTGGGTTAATATCAGGTAAATTTTTCTTTCGAATGCAGAGTTCGATTTTGGGTTTAGAAAAAAATTTTATATGTAATTATTTGATTATTTATACAAATATTTTATCGTAATAATTTAAAAGCTATAATAAAAAATTATATAAAAATCCAATCAAAATCTCCTTAAACCAATTTGAAAATTCCATGCAAAGTTTTATTACAAAATTTACTGTTTTACTGAAAATCTGGAAACGTTCGCTTCTATGACTTTTGGATCTGAAGTTTTTTTAGTTTTTTATAAAAAGTTGTTATGTCAGTGTTTTGTACTATCCGACCAACTTTCGGCTGGATGCGACGCATATTGTAACTTCATTCCAATTTTCTTTTTCAATTTGATGGCAAAAATGTTTACGAAGGAGTTTCTTACCAATCGCTTAGTCCACATGTCCATCTTTACCTTCTCGTCAGTTCCAAACAGTTGTCCACATATGTGTAACTTCAGGAAACTAGAACCAGGGAAATACGCAGAATGTTTCAGTATACCTCAGTTAAACGAGGCGAGCAGTTTCTTCCCGGCCTTGGCTTTGTATCGTGCTGGCCCTGCCGTGTAGTAGGCACAGTCGTACGTACTCGTACAACTCTTAGCTTTATCGTTATAAATCTCAAACGGAGGTTTTTTCATTCCAACGAGGTAACGGACGACACCGCGTAATTACCGCCACCTATTTGCGACTAACCGATCTCATTGATTTGAGTTGAGCTTATGCGCACACTTTGGCCAACAGACTTATTGTGCTACCGCACCAGTCTTCACCTTCACAAATGCTCGAACCATCTCGTATGACTGAGGCTAGCTCAGCAAGACAGTCGAAGAAATGTTAAGCGAGAAACGCATATTACGCAGATGGCAAGGGTAGACAGTGACGCAGGTAGTGTTCAATAGACTCTCCTTCTTCTGCGACCGTGAAGCTGCGACAAAAATCATAAGAGCGGTAGCACATGCCTTTCCCGTAAAAACCCATCAAACAGTGAGCTTTTATTACGCATGTCTATCGATAACTGGTCTAGTAAGATAAAATCCTTTGATTTTTTTATTTAAATTTTTCCCATCACTGGCTGGTCACATTGTAACTGTGATCTCATTGAGCCATCTTGCGTTTGCTTATTTGCGTTTGAAGAGTACCGTGTCTCGCCAGGTCATATTTTATGCAATTATCTAGGATTTCAAGCCACTCTCATTGCATCTATCTATCTACAATAACATGTTGTTAACATGACGAAAACTAAATCCTTCCAGCCGTAAGAGTCTCAGTATGTCTCTTCTTTGGTTATGTCTCTTCGGAAAAATTGCTTTGAAAAATATTTAAAAAAAATATCATTAATTATCGAATAGCTCAATATACATATTCATCTAGTTTGAAGCATAAATCTTTTTCAAAATTTATCTAAATAAGAAACTATTATGCTATCAAGAAATTTTAAAATTTCTTCAAAATTAAATAAAATGGAAAAAAATCAGACATTAGCAAACCACTAAGATATTCAATTTAAAAACTCACACCTCACTCACACCCAACGCAACGAATTATTAACAACCAACCAACGATGTCTACAGTCTCAATTTGCATTTCAATGAAAGTAAAATACACACACACACACACATATATATATATATACACAGAAAAGCGCAGGAAAAATATGATTTATGTTTACGCAAATTGTCCGTAAAGTCTCGCACATTTGTGCAATTTCAAAGTGCAAATCATTTAATTTGATTAAATTTTCGTGTAAGAACTGCAACGTTGGCATATATTTACATACATATGATATGTATTTTGTATGCATGAGTTTGCATGAAGCGTCCAGTGCTCAGCGTGGCGTATGAGTAATGCGCTTAGTGCTTATATGTGGCTGCTAATAGGCCGACAAAATGGTCGGTTGGTTGCCTGAGGCGCCGCTAAATGCATAAATATTAACGCAAAATCAGTTTTGACACTTCATTTATTATGTGAAACAAAAATTTTCAAATATAAATAAATTACACTTAGACATATTTTTAGCTAAATAAATGCATGCATAGTGATTTTTGAGACTCACATTTATATGTATGTACAATACAATATATATGTATATATTTTTTTTTGATTTTCCAGAGCCAGTACGCCGTTTCACCACGCGCCGCAAATCAGTCTTTGCCGAGGCATATGATCCAGAGAATGATGCCGACGATGATGAGGCCGAACGCAAGGTCTATCCCAAATCAGATGAGCAACGTGCACGTCTAACCGAATCGGTGAAGAATGTATTGTTATTCCGTTCATTGGACGATGAACAGGTGGGTGACGTAGAGTGTACAAACAAAAAACATATATTTTGTGCTAGAAATATGTGTGCATTAAATAGTGGATTATTTTACTAAATAATTTATTTATTGTTTAAAAAAGTATACAAATTGCAAAACATGGAATTTTAGGGCCATTTTAGTTAAATATATATTTTCAATATTTCAAATAAATTTTTACAGTCAAACAGAATATAATTATTTATACATATAGCTTGATTTTTTAAGAGCTATTGGAAATGTTTTCATAAAGAACACATAAAATGCAGAAAAATGTATAAAATTTTTATTTGAATCGATAGAGTCGATATAATTTAATGCTTGAGGATAATTTCATGCAAATGTTGACCGTGACTGCGTCCCAAATGGCCCAACCGCTTAATCGAATTTCGGCATACTCTTTCCACCATCTCGGCCGGTACCTCACGAAAAAATGCTTCAGTTTGTCCACCAATGTGTCAATTGAAGTAAGCTTGTCTGTATCTGGATCGTCATTACATTTAACATAGACCAACAAAAAATAGTCTAAAGGCGTTAAATCGCACGATCTAGGCGACCTATTGACCGGTGCCGAATGTGAAATCAAATGTGCACCGAACTCATCTCTAAATAAGTCCATTGTTGCGCAAGCTGTGTGGCATGTGGCACCGGCTTGTTGAAACCACATGTCATGCAAGTCAAGCTCTTGCATTTTGGGCAAAAAATAAGTTTGATATCATCTCACGGTAGCGCTCACCATTCACAGTTACGTTACGATTCGCATCATCTTTGAAGGAGGACGGTCCAATGGTGCCACCAGCCCATAAACCGCACCAAACTGGGACCTTTTCTGGATGCATTAGTTGCTCTTGCGATGCATCCGGCTCATCTTCACACCAAAATCGACAATTCCGCTTATTTACGCGCCCATTAAGCCTAAAATGAGCTTTGTCACTGAACACAATTTTTCAATAAAAAAAGGGGATCTTCGGCCAACTTTCCATGAGCCCATTCACCAAAAATTCTGCGTTGCGGTAGGTCGTCCGGCTTCACACATAAATCCCTCCGAAAAATTTTCCACATTGTTGAGGAAGCGAGACCCGATTGCTGCGAACGGCGACGAATCGATATTTGATGGTCATCGTTAATACTGTCCGGTACAGCTGCGGTATTTTCTTCAGTTCGCACTCTACGTAAGCGTGTTGGTGGTTCAATGTCCAACAATGTAAATTTGGTGCGAAATTTAGTCACATTAGTCCGAATAGCCGCTTCAGTGGGTCGATTAAACTGACCATAAAATGGAAGAAGCGCGCGATGAACTTTCTTTACAAAGCACGCATTTTGATAATAAAAGTCAATAATTCGCAAGCGTTGTGCGTTTGTAAGACGATTCCTGGTTAAATTATAGACCAAACTGAAGACGTTTGACTTTGAAACAAAACACGAAACGTGTGACAGCTGTTTAAACCAGTGTTGCCAAAAAGAGAATAGCTAAATAATTACCCTTTACAATACATATTTTCAGTTTCGCATAAATTTTTTACAGTTCAAATTAAGTTAATTGTATATTATATATAAAACATTTTCTCTGAATTAATTTTTTAAGTAATAATTTAATTAAATAAATTTATATTTTAAATTTTAAGAATCTTTTAATGCACATTTTTAATGTTCCACATAGATTTTCTATTAAAAAATAGATAATGCATACATTTGGATTTCATACTATTAAATTTTAACTGTATTTTTTATATGGAAAGTTTCTAAATTTATTATTTGTTGAAAAAATATTTATTAAATTTTAAAAAGAGAATTTTATTTCTTTATTTTTTTTTATATAAATTTTTACTATTTCACATATTTTTTAAACAAAAAAATTAATTATTACATACATATTTCATATACTATATTTGGCAATAAAATTTTTCGAAAATATAATATTTACAAATTTCAAGTGCTTACTTTGCAACTTAATGTCACTTACATACATATATTATTAGTATGTATATTGTATATGTAAAACTAGATAAATTTTGTGCATACATATATACTTTAGTAAAGTAAGGTCATGCCTCTCTCTTAGAGACCCTTGACCCAATTGGTAAAAATTTGTTGCAATCAATTTTCACAAGCCTCGCTTGAGGCCAATTCTACAGAAAACAATTCATTCGCCATAGACAAGAGCAGACAGTAAACGCTTGTTGCGAGGTCCGGACTATACAGTGGATGCATAAGAATTTTCCAATGCAGCTTTCGCAGCTTTTAGCGAGTCATTTAGCTTTGTCCTAATCAAACACAATTCTTCTACCGTTGGGCAAAGCTGTACGCTTCTGTGTAACTTCTTAAGACTGTCTGATTGGAGACAATGAAGATCCAAATAAGGAGTTGGGCCTTAGAAGAGCACCTCATAATGAATGGATTCCTTGCTAATCCCACCAAGCACAAGTCAGAACCTTCTTGCTTGTCAAACTTGGCTTGGAGACCATTTATGCAGACTCATTGCCCTTCGAACACGACCATTTTCATTTGAAATTACTACAAGTGAGCCATTTTCCACCACCGGACACCATTCGCTTCAGAAATCGATCGGTGTTGCTACGATGCAGAAGCAATTGGCAATTGGCTTTCCACGCCGTGGATCTTCTTTTAAATCAAAATTACCAGAATGAATTCGATGAAACTAAAATTCTGCATGATTAGCTGCTGCAGTATAAGAACCGTAAACACTATTCACTTGTTTCGCTGCCTAACTTGCGATTTCGCCTTTATTTTTGAATGTGGCACATTTTCTCTTCACCAATATCCATCTTTGACATGCGCTCAAGCACGACTGAGTTAAGAGATCAACACTACTCCCATAAACTTGTTTAGCTCCAAATATCTTTTCAGAGCCATCTAGCGTGATCCAATCGCCTTTACATATATATATATATATATACCTATATACATATATATATATATATATATATATATATATATATGTAGAATGCGAGGTACAGATCACTAAAGCCATTTGCAGTAGTAATGGATGACTTACTAGATCCAGTGTAAATGTAAAATTGTTCTTGAAAAATCATATTTGCAAAGGCACTAAATAAATGTGAACGTTTTGTGTAATATAATAATTAAATAATAATAATTAGGGGTAACGGTGCGTATACGTAACTTTTTTCATATAAAAAATTACCATTTACATTTTGTGAGTATGACACAATTTGAAAATGTATAATTTATGGAAAAGTTAATAAAAGCGTTTTGTTATAAGAATTGTTTTCGTACGAGGTCTGTTCAAAAAATTTGAAAACTTTTTAAATTCTGGGTGTTACATAGAGCTGTTACCAATTCTCCTAACTAATTTTTGCAACAGAAGGGTGGAGGTTCTCTTCATCTGATCACACCACCTGGCACCGGATCGAATACTTTCAGTGCTGCTATATTTTTTTTATCCATCTTGCTATTGTTGTTGTAACCGCGTAAATATTTTTCAAAATTGGGTTTCAGGCAATATTGTGGTAGAGACAGTCTGCGACCTAATAAAATTCCAGGTGGTTTCTGAATAAGAACCCGAACTATTATTTCTTTAGTCACCTCTTGCTACTGGCTTGCCTTGACGCGGATAAATTTGTTTACCACATTAGTAATCAAACTCTCTGTCTCTTAATTCGCTTAACTCCGTCGTTCGCGATATCCGACGCTGTAGAGTACCAGAAATGTTTGAATTTAGCTAACAATGGTCATGACTAGCTCTTAAGGATTGGTTACCACAATAAAACCAAAGCCTTCAGTGTAGGCAATGAAAGAGTGCAGGAGAGCCAGAACGTAAAAACGCACGGCAAGCAAGATCAAATAGTATAGTTTTTCTTACTGGCTTCTTTGATTATCAAGACGTAGTGTCTCAGTAGCACTTACCTTAAGCTCATATAGCAATTTTCACCAGACGTGCGACTTTTTTATTTACTAAATTTTGAAAAGATAGGTCATCATTCTGAGTTTCGTTTGCGCGGCTAAAGAGTAAAAACCAAATAGGTGAAGAGCGTCAAGGACATACCAAAACGTTGCGAATGGAACTGCTTCGAAAATTAAGAAATTCTGTCTACTAATAAAGAGAGAGCCATCTAACATTGGCCTTTTGAACGACATGTGATTTGAGCTTAGACATATTCAATGACATTAACGACATCGTTCGCAGGAATTAAATATTTTGTGCTTGATTTTGCACAAAGATCTTCAGGCCAGTCACCGAAGCAACTTGATCATCCAGTGCTTGGCAAAAAATGAAAATTTTTAACGAAAGATCAAATTTTCCGATGAAGCTCAAGGTGAGCCCTTGGCTAGAAAATCCAGACCAGCCAATGCCTCTTCAGCTAATGAGTGTTTGGTGTTGACGTGGAGCGGCGGCAGCATTGTTCTACTTTTCTTCGAAAACAAGCTGCCCTTACCGTTAATGTCGTTAGTTACCGCACCATGCACAGATATTATTTGTTTCATTTACTTAATATTAAAAGCTTAAAAAAAGTTGTATTAAGACACGTTGGTATAGTGGGTTGCGAAATTGACTCGGAACCACTTGCTATCAACATGAGCAAGATGATTTCCAACCACTACAGCGTCTTTCGAGCTGAACTAACTGCAATAATGGAGGCCGCTCATGCTTACTCACACAGTACAGTATCTCAACCTATCACAAAAAACACTCTGATAGCCAAGCTACTATTAAAGCTTTTTATTGTAATCAACAACCTCAGACTTGACACAAAAAAAAAAGATGAGGGATATCTTGTAGTTGGAATTCCTGGACATATCGACAAACCAGAAAATTGCAAGACGTAAGAGCTAGCAACAGTATCCTCTGTCCTATCCATGGTTAAGTCTGCACAATATGCGGACATATCTCTTTCCTCCACAAAATACCTGCTAAGGTGGGCTTGTACCAGCAAGGCCAATACCAGATGGTAGATTGAAAGCACATATAACGATGGCCATGGATCTCTAAAAAAAAAAATTAAGTCTCTAAACAAAACATCCAAGTGTAATTACCGGACACTGTTTGATGCATTTTCCGCCGGTGGGTGCAAAGAAATAGGAAGGGGAAGGCCTCCTCTTCATTGGAAAGACCACGTAGAGAAGGACTTAGCGGTTCCTGGTATCTCAAATTGGCACCAAGTAGTGAAAAGAAGTAATGAATTACTCAATGTTATTAATTCGGCCATAATCGCTTAAGCGGTGTCCACGCCAGTAAAGAAGAAGAAATAAAAGAAGAGTGAGAAGAAGTTTGATGTGTACCCATGCTAAAAGGATGATCTAATTCTGTAATGACTTCTCTCGCGGCTGCAAGAGCATAGTCGAAGAGGAGACCCTGCGGGTTAGGGGTTCAAGAGTTTACCCGCGGTGAGACCTGTCTGTCGTAAGAGGGGACTAAAAATTAATAGTTTTAGCGACAGTCGGATTTTTATATCGGAACAACCAGGATTTTTTTTATCCAGCCAAGGACTATCACTCGCAGAGTATTTGCGGATACAACAACAAGAGGAGATGATGAAGCACAAACCATATGGTTTAAGAATCTAGTGCGAATCTCTTGTGAATAATACCTACTAGAGGCCTTCTTCCCTCATAGGTATCAAAAGGGGTCAACATGCCTAATAACCTTTAAATAAATAAGAAGTAACCTTCTTGACCATCAGCATGTGCTGCCACTGCAAAAAGGCTATAGTGCCTTGTATTCCGTTCATATTTAGGCAAACATGACAAATTTCCTCGCGATATATCCCTTTGGTTTTTTTTTTTTTTTTTTTTTTTTTTTTGTTTTTTTTTTTTGACAGCTGATTGTGGTTTGATGTGTCGGCGTATAAGAGCATCGCATCCATGGCTAAAATCAATGACTTGGGGCTCCAATTGCTTCCGCATCCACCGTATTCGCCCAATTTGGCACCCTCTTTCCAAACCTGAAAAAATGGCTCATCAATAAAAAAATTCAGCTCACGCGGATGAGTATTTTGCAGATCTTCCATTCGAAAAGAAAAAACATTTTTTTTCCTTCTCAATGAGGTTACTATTCCACCCCATCTAGTGTATTTGAGGCATTTTGGCAAAGTTTCTTAAGATTCTTCAACTCACCAAATAATAAAAATACATATTTTCCCCATTTTTTCTTAAAATTTTTGACATTTGTATTGTTTTGGAGGCCATCAAAAATTTTTAACGATTTATAAATTCATAAATAAATACAAAAACAAATTTTCGCAATGCCCACACGCTTACAATTTTTTTTTATTTTTTATTCCATAAATAGAAAAAAATATGCTCATTCTCTTACTTATACATACGTGTATATGCATATATACATCTATGCATATAATCATAAAAAATAAATATTTCATACAGCTCAACTCAGAATTTGCTAACACCAAAAATATACTACACTTTTCCCATCCATATATTTATACATATGTATAAAGATATGCACTGACATACACTCCACGCGAAATCCATAAATTCCAATTTTGCATATTTCATTTTATAATTTCATTTTCATTATTTTTATTTGCATACTTCCATTCATTTGTACATCATTTCGCACTACAACACGATAATCTCTTGCATTTTTCATTTATATGTTTTTGTTGTTGTTTTCTGTGATAAAAATATAACACAGAACACATAAATTCCATAGCGAGAAAGTAGAAGCACTCATTTATATATATATAAAGGGTTATTTTTTAGCTATTCTCTTTTTAACAACACTGCTTTAAACAGCTGACACAAGTTTCGTGTTTTGTTTCAAAGTCAAACGTCTTCAGTTTGGTCTATAATTCAACCATGAACTGACTTTTAAGAAAGCTCTTCAAGCGCTTCTTCCGTTTTATCGTCAGTTTAATGAACCCACTGAAGTGGCTATTCGGACTAATGTGACTGAATTTCGCACCAAATTTACATTGTTGGACATTGATCCATCAACACGCTTATGTAGAGTGCGAACTGGAGAACGATGACCCTCAAGTATCGATTCGTCGCCGTTCGCAGCAATTGGGTCTCGCTTCCTCAACAATGTGGAAAATTTTGCGGAAGGATTTAAGTGTGAAGCCGGACGACCGACCGCAACGCAGAATTTTTGGTGAATGGGCTTTTGGAAAGTTGGCCGAAGATCCACTTTTTTATCGAAAAATTGTGTTCAGTGACGAAGCTCATTTTTGGCTTAACGGGCGCGTAAATAAGCAGAATTGTCGATTTTGGAGTGAAGATCAGCCGGATGCATCGCAACAGCAACCAATGCATCCAGAAAAAGTCACAGTTTGGAGCGGTTTACGGTCTGGGCTGGTGGCATCATTGGACCGTTATTCTTCATGGATGATGCCAATCGGAACTGTGAATGGTGAGCGCTACCGTGAGTTGATATTTTAACTTTTTGTTTACTCAAAATGCTAGAGCTTGACTTGCATGACATGTGGTTCCAACAAGACGGTGCCACATGCCACACAGCTTGCGCAACAATGGACATATTGAGAGATGAGTTCGGTGCACATTTGAATTCACATTCGGCACCGGTCAATTGGTCGTCTAGATCGTGCGATTTAACGCCTTTAGACAATTTTTTGTGGAGCTATGTTAAATGTAATGATGATACAGACATTTCAATAGACGCATTGGAGGATAACATTGAAGCATTTATTCGTGAGATACCGGTGGAAAGAGTCAACATTTGCATGAAATTATCCTCAAGTATTAAATTATATGGACCGTACTATGGATTCAAATAAAGATTTCATGCATTTTTCTGAATTTTTTGTGTTTTTTTACCTTCTTATAGCTCTTAAAAATCACCCTTTATATAAATATTTATTTATTTATTTATATGCACATACATACAAAGCACTCTATAAATCACTTCAAATATATATATTTGTTTATTCGTTTATTCGTTTCTTCTGCAGATGAATCAAGTATTGGACGCCATGTTTGAGAAGCGAGTCCAACCAGATGAATTCATCATACGCCAGGGTGATGATGGTGATAATTTCTATGTTATTGAATCGTGAGTATCTCAATTCAATTAATATTTTGTTAGTGTGCAGAGCGGTGGGGAGAAGTTGTGGTTACATACCCCTCAAGTGTTGGCTGTGCTCTTTGTGTAGTAGTAAAATACTCCTGCGTATGACTGTCTGCTGCTATGAACATACGTACGTACATATGTACATATGTATGTTTGTACTCGTACTCATCAACTATGAAACTTTCAATCAATCTATTCGAAATTGATATGATTTTGAGGTTTCCTTTGCATTTGATTTGCATTTTATAGTTTATGTGGTTTAGTGGCCATTTAAATAGTTTAAGTTGAGATTTTCCGTATTTCAGACAAATATTAGACTTTAGCGAATGAGATTAATTAATATTGAATATTTTTCAAGAAACTTGAAAGAAAAAACTTTAAAATATTTGAAATTAGTTTTCGCCTGTTCTTATTATTCACTGCAAAATCTCTTGAGTTGTGCCTTTATTTGGAAGTTTTTTCCTTGTTATATTCGGAAGACTATCGCAGGTGTGGTAGACGTCAGCAGGGATATACTACATATTTATTTTGGTAGAAAACATCTATGATAAAATTCTGAGACTCTGAAATATATTATATCCCAATGAATAATTGATATAAGCCTCGGGTGAGAGAACCCCACCTCTGATGACCTCCCCGCAAATATTTTAAGGATCATGATTTGAGAACAACAGACGTGGTAAATCAAACATCGTCCAGATATTTACCATGCGCTAAGTCTTGGAAAGGACCTGTGAAAAGGGGATAGACACAGTCGAACTCTTGGTCGATTTTAAAACAGCCTTCGACAGCACGAAAATGAACTGCCTTTACGTCCCTGTGTCTTAATTTATCTTTCACGGAAATCTCATGCGACTATGTAAACTGACGCTAGACAACACCATAAGCGCAGTCAGAATTGGGAAGGACCTCTCCGAGCCGTTCGATACCAACCGAGATTTCAGACAGGGAGATTCCTTGTCGTGTGATTTCTTCAATTTGATACTGGAGAGAATAATGAGAGTTGCAGAGCTGAATAGAGAAGGTACAGTCTTCTAGCAAACAAACAAACAGTAATCGCATTCACAACTTGGCTTCCACATCACTGTTGTCAGTCATAACTTTGAAGTCGTAGATAATTTAGTCTTTATAGGAAACAGCATTAACACCCAACAACGATGTCAGCCTGGAAATGCAGCCCAGAATCACTCTTGCCAACAGGTGCTACTTTGAACTGAGTAGGCAATTGAAATATAAAATCCTCTTCCGACGAACGAAAACCAAACTCGACAACTATCTCATCGTTTCCGTCCTGTTAATATCTGATGAGTCGGCGTTAGGAATTTTCGATAGAAAGGTTTTGCCATAAGATTTATGGTCCTCTACGAGCTACAAACGGCGAATATCCGGGCTATTTGATGGTATTGAAATAATTCAACGAATGAAGAGACAACGGCTGCGCTGTCTATATCATGTCGTCCGAACGGATGAAAACACTCCAGCTATGAAAGTTTTCGATTCAGTACCCGCCGGTGGAAGCAGAGAAAAGGGAAGACCTCAACTCCGTTGGAAAGACCAGTTTATGAAAGGTCTGGCTGAACTTGGTATATCCAACTGGCGCCAAGCAGCGAGAAAAAAATCTGAATATAATATTAATAATAGTAATATATAGTTCTAAATTCGGCTATAACCGCTGTCTACCCCAGTAGAGAAGAAGAAGAATATTTAGCCTTTCGTTACGATATCGTTTGATATGTACTCCACGTAATCCCCTACAGGTTGGAAATTTTTGAAAAATGTGTATTGAACAGGTTTCCAGTTCACTCCTTAGCCTAGCTTAAGAGTCGTCAGTTACTTTGATAATTTTTTCCTATGCCTAACCACCTCAGCTTTTTTTCTAACTGCCTTTTGGTTTTACGGCTCTCTTTATTGAATTCTTTCCAACTTTACCACATTTTAATTTATATAACTAAATAATTATTTTTTATCTTTTCAATTTTTGCTGTCCCTGTGGAAAACAGTGGTGTTTACAAAGTAATTTGTAATGGCGATCATATTTCTACTTATGACAACAGTGGAATATTCGGTGAATTGGCGTTGCTCTACAATGTACCAAGGTGAGTGGGGAATATGCAATAATTATATTTTAAAATTATTATTTTTTTATTGTAAATAAATGCGCATATTTGAAGTGCCCAGGCGATGGCGAATATATTTTTCCATAATATTAATTTATGTGCATGCAAAAAAAATTAAAAAATGCAATAAGTTCGGAATATAAATATTTTTTTTTGTATTTTTTTATACATTATAATTTACAGAGAAGCTATGAATATTTGTTTTATTCTATGTATTTAAAATCGAGTGGTTTTTTTAAACCTAATAATCGAAAAGTACATTTTAATTATAATTATTACCAAAAAGGAAAATGGAAATTTTCGTTAGAGTATAAAATACATATAAATGGGATTATTCATTACGTATTTCCAAAAGTACAGTACTGTACTTTGACATCTGTCAAACTTAACTGTCACGCCAAACATGTTTTGGAATGAAACGCACAACGCGCCAAACCTGTTGTTAAGACCTTTCACCAAAGTGGTGATTCACATGTAACAACGTTTCGTGTTTTAAGAGAAAATTATGGTGCAAACAATCATTCAATTACTCAAGCAGTTGGAAAAAATAAAAAAAAAGTCTTTAAGAGACTGGATCGCTTGCAGATATTGTAAGGCCACGGCATCAACGTCTTGCACGCTCCAACTCAAATATCGCTCCAGCAATTGAAAGTGTAGCCGAAAACCCGAACGTGTCTATTTCTCGGTGTTCTTAAGAGCTTGTATTTGGACTTACACCTACATGCGTCCCTTTAAAGTCCAGCTCACACAACAACTGAAGTCAGCTCGTCATGCACAATGTCATACATATGTCGGTTAGCTGCTGGAACAACAAGCCGAGGGTAGCGATTTTTCGAATAAAAATTTCTTCAGCCACGAGGCACATATCTCACTCGCGGGTTACGTAAACAAAAACCAAATTTTTGCACTTGGAGCACCTAGAATCCACAAATAATAGAACTGAAGCTATTACAACAAAAAAATGGCTGGTACTCTCTTGGGACTGAAGCTGTGATTGGATTTTACTTCTTTTAAAATTACAACAGCGAGACTGTCACTAACAATTCAATTGCAAATAAGACTTTATCGAAAGAGAAATTTCCCGAACGCGTATTCTCTCGTCTTGTCGTTGTCATTTGGCTAGCGTTTGTTGTTTGTGGGGCTACGCGAAAGACCGTGTTTATGCAGATAAACCTTTAACTATTGAGCACTTGAAATCCAACATTCCTCATCTTATGGCTAAGATACCGTCAAATATGTGCCAAGGTTCAAACTTTATAACGAAAAAAGGAATTTAATGAAAAAATAATATTTTGAATGCAATTTGTTTACGTCTATCTTCGAAACCGCGAAATGGATAACCCGGTACATGTGTCTGTATATATGTACATGAAGCACATTCATGCAGTGTTTTTATGAGTGAGCGTTAAAATGGAAAATAAATGTTTATTCATATGGAAATGAAGCTAAAATTTTATTTTCAAGAAGCATTAAACTTTTTATGAGTTATTGATTTTTCGCTCTTCATAGTGTAAATGGAATACCTACATAAGTGTGCGTACAAAAATCTCAGCCTGCGCATGTAGCAGCATAATTTAAGCTTCAAAGCATGTAAAAATCCTACAACGAAAGCAAAGCTATTTTTATTCTTTTACTGTTATTTTAGAATTAATTAAACTAAAATTTTATGAGCTCTTCAAAGCATTGAAATCAATAATTTGTAATTATTTTTTACCTATCCCATAGAGCCGCCTCCATACAGGCTGTTACAGAGGGTCTACTCTGGGCTATGGATCGTCAAACGTTCCGTCGCATTCTATTGAAATCTGCTTTCAAAAAGCGAAAAATGTACGAAACACTATTGGACAGTGTGCCAATGTTGAAGGCGTTGAAGGTGAGTTTCAAAATATGAAAAAAAGGAAAAAGGCAAGAAAATAATAAAAAAAAATCTTAATTCTTGTCTTCTGAAAAAATGTTCCGAAAAGTTATACTTTGCAAAAATAAATATTAATTTACAAAAATATTTTATTTTCCATTAGTCCTATGAACGCATGAATTTGGCTGATGCATTAGTTACCAAACACTTTTCCAGCAATGACAGAATCATTAAACAAGGTAATTTGTAATAAATAAAAATAATAAAATAGAAAATTCACATTTTTTTTCTAAAATTTAGGCGATGTTGCCGATGGTATGTATTTCATAGAAGATGGCAGTGTTGTGGTGAAAATGGACCAAGATGGACGTGAGATTGAGATTTCTCGATTAGGTAAAGGTCAATATTTTGGTGAATTGGCTTTGGTTACACACCGACCACGCGCCGCTTCCGTCTATGCCGATGGAGATATTAAAGTTGCATGTAAGTTTATTTAAATAAATATAAACAAATACATATAGCCTTCAAATAATGCTTTTTGAAAGCTATACAACGAAATAAAAAATTGTAGTTGCTTTTTTTATTTATTACAACTTAATTAAATATAGAAAATATATACAAACTTGAATTTTATTGTAATCAAATAAAATGAAAATAGTATGTAAAATAAATTTGCATAAAATAAAAATTAACAAATAAAATAAATAAGGATAAAATAAAATATAAATAAAATAAAATAAAATAAAATAAAATAAAATAAAATAAAATCAAATAAATTTGCGTAAAATAAAAATTAACAAATAATAATAATCAAAATATTGAAACTAAAATAAAATAACATAAAACTCACTTCAATAAGCACAACACAAATAAAATAATTAAGGGTAAAATAAAGTAAAATAAAATAATCAAAGAAATGTAAAATAAACCAAATATTAAAATATAATTAATCAAAATCCAAAAAAACTATATACAATAAAATTAAAAAACTACATAAAATAAATGAAAATAAAGTAGATTGAATGAAATAAAATTTATTAAAATGACTACAACAAAATAAATTAAATAAAATTAAAATAAAATAAAATAAACTAAACTAACATAAAATGACAAATCAAATTAAAGTATATTAAAAATGAAAGGACAACTAAGCGAATAAAAATTTAATTAAATAACAAAGAACCAAAAATAAATTAAATTTACAAATAAAAAAATTAATTAAAATAACAAATAAAAACAAAAAAATAAAAGCAATTAAAGAAATATAAAAAAATAAAAATAATAAAATAAAACAGAATTAAAGAATATGAATTAAATAAAAGGAAATATAATTAAATTAATTTAAATAATATAAAATTAAAAAAATTAAAATAAAATATAATAAACAAAATAAAAAATTAAATAGAAATACAAAAAATTAAGCAAAATAGAATAAATTAAAATAAAATAAAATTAACAAAAATTAAAATAAACATATATAAAACAGATAAAATAAATTAAAGTACAAGAAAATAAGATAAAATTAAAGTAAAATCAACTAAAATCAAAAATTAAACAAATAAAATCATATATGACCAAATTTAATTTGAAGTTGAAAAATAAAAATAAAGTAAATAAAATAATAATTAATATGATGTAGAAGAAAATCAAATTAATTAAAATGAATTAAAATAACAAATAAAAAAATTCAATAAAAAAAATTAAAATAAAATAAAATTGAAATAAATACAAAAATGAAATAAAAACAAATAAAAATGAAATAATTTTGACTCTAATAAAATTTTAGATCTTTATTATACAAATCAGATAAAAATGTAGCAAAAAAGTAATGGAGCATCTTACCGAAAAAAAGTATAAATAAATAACAAAAAATTAAAATGAATTAAAATAACAAATAAAAAAATTCAATAAAAAAAATTAAAATAAACTAAAATTGAAATAAATACAAAAATAAAATAAAAACATATAAAAATGAAATAATTTTGACTCTAATAAAATTTTAGATTTCTATTATTCTTTTACCTTCAGTAGTTTTAACCTTAATAACCTTCATTATAAATTTTATCGTTTTTAATAGAATTTGTTTTATTGACTTTGCCTTAGCTTAAGTTTAGCTCTCTTCCAACTTCATGTTATAATTAATTTTGTTTCTTTATATTTCATTTGTTTTTTCTTTTTACTTTTCTTGCTATGCTAATTTGCCTGAAAAAAATATTACACCTTAAAATTTTCAAAACTTTTTTCCTAACTTCCTTCAAATTTGACGCTTGTGCCCCTTTACTTTATTTATTTATTTCGAACTCTGGTTCTCTGTATGCTTGCGTATATTTGAATATGAACTTAATATTACACTAAACAGTCTTAGATACCGATTGCTTTGAACGTTTGTTAGGTAAATGTACGAATTTGTTGGAGAGTGGCATTAGCGGTTACCGTTATTTAGATGATGATTTACGTATTTACTATGATAATATGAAAATGTTGCAGAATATTCAACTGTAGTGTGGATGTTTTTGAGTTAATATTTTTTTTTCTTTAATTTTTATTTTCATTTTTATTTGCTTGCGTTTCTTAACATACTCCTTTATGCCAAAATTGAAATTTGAATTTCATGCTTTATTATTATGATTTTAATCCATGATATGAATTAAACAATTAATAATTTTTCTTTTATTTACAAAATTCAAATTGAAAAAAAAACATGCAAATTAAAAATTCATTAAAATCATTTGCCCAACAATTTTATGCGACAAAATTAAATTCATTACAAGTTTTGGATAAAAATGCTTTTGAGCGAATTCTCGGCTTCCTTACGGACGTACTCAAGCGCAATGCTGAAGTCTATGAAGAGCAATTATCAAATCTTGCACGTGAAAATATATTTTAAAATACTTTTTATCATACATATATATACTGTTGTGAAGACTCAATGTTTGTAAAGGAATTCTTAATTTTTGGCTGAATTCTTAAACCAAAAAATTGGATAATCTAATATGGGTACTTCATAAAAATTTCCTTTAACAAGATTGAGTTAATGTTATGACTTATTTTTCAATTTAAATAAAAAATAAATAAATACAAAAAAAAAACAAGTTCGAAAAACTATTAATTCTTTTTTAGTATTTATAAAATAATTGCGAAAATTTGATTTTTTTGGTAAAATTTTAAAATTAATTCAAAATGTCTAGTTGAATCATTTCGAACCCAAATTATTCCTAGCTCGGATTAGAGGATTACTTTTTGATTGAACAGATTATACTAAAAGTCCAAATACTCGTTAAAAGTGCAGTTGAGTAAGGATTTTAAATCTTTTGAGATTTTTAAACATTTTCATATTTTGGCAACAAGTTTCTCATATTTCTTAATACTTATAAATATTATAACATTTAATTTAACACAGTCAGCAATTTTAATAAATAAATGTTTGCCCACCTTAGGGTAGGATAATGTACTCAAAGGTACTTTCCGTGGCACAAGCTATAGTTCCACATTGAAAATATGCACTTTGTAATAAATTTTACTCAGCACAAGTGATGAAAAAAAGGTGTTTGAAAATCTTTAGCCCCCTTATACATTCATAAATACATATTTCCATATTTAGTTGGTTCGGCTAGCCATACCCTAGGTTCTAGGTAACCCCTTACAATAAACGCTCAGCCCTGTCATGCCACTACTACCGCCACCATCATCATGAACCATCACCATCACCATAATATTGGAGGCAAAATCAATTTAAAAAAAATTTATATTGGTAAGGCGTCAAGTAATGAAAGAAAAAATCTAGACAAAAATATATAAAAATCGCTAATCCTTAATCGCGCATGCACACAATAAATACAAATAAATGTGGTCAAAGGATTACACAACAAAACTCTGTACAACAACAAAAGCTTAATACACCTACACGGAAATAATATTATTTTTTTTAAATTTTATTCACGCTTATATTAGCACAATGCAAAAATAGTTATTAATAACGGTAAAATAATCTTCAATTACACTTACAAAAACAAAAATGCTACAATAAATAAAAAATAAAAACCAAAGTGATGCCAACCAATTTCTACACAATTCCCACTAATTAATTTAAAATAAAACATTAATTTTGTGGCTACATTAAATATTAAACATTGATTAGGTATTTATTTATTTTAATTTTTTAATCTTTCTTTAAGCACAAAAAAATATATTGCATGCCACACACACTTCCGCTGAAGGACAAAAGACTAATATTAGGTCAAGTAAAAAGTTCATTCGGTTTTTATCTAAGAGAAGACGTTATTATCCATAGTACTAGAGTTACGTGTCGCATCATGTCATACTATACGGCGCTGAAAACGTATTTATTCGCGCTGAAAGTTTGTCTTTGACAGTTTTTTCGATTGATTGACTCAGTACGTTGTGAGCGCTCGCCAAAGATGAACACCAGCAAAGTGCAAAAATTCGCTATATTTTACAATTTTCCTTCGATCAAGGCGAAAAAGCAGCCAAAGCGTCTGGAAAAATTAATTTAGTTTATGGGCCCCATACTGTAGCACAAAAGTGGTTTGCTAGGTTCCGTTCCGGTAATTTCTATGTCAAAGATACACCAAGCGGCGGGAGTCCTGTCGTCGAAAATTGCGCCAAAATCATGGAAATAGTGGAAACAGACCGTCACCTGAGCACTTATTTATTGCTGAGGAACTAAAGATAAGCCAGAAAACCGTTTGGAATCATTTGCATAACCTTGAATTCAAAAAGAAGTTTGGGTGCCACACGAACTAACGCGAAAAAAAATGATGGACCGAATTTCCGTCTGCGAGTCGCTGCTGAATCGCAACAAAATTGACCCGTTTTTGAAGCGGATTGTGACTGGCGATGAAACATGGGTCACTTACGACAACAACGAGCGCAAACTGTCGTGGTCAAAGCTCGGGGAAGCAGCCCAGACGGTGGCCAAGGCCGGATTGACGGCCAGGAAGGTTTTGCTTTGTGTTTGGTGGGATTAGCAAGAAATCATCTACTATGAATTGCTTCACTATGGCCAAACGCTCAATTTCGCGCTCTACTGCCAGCAAATGAACCGCTTGAAGGCAGCACTCATCCAGAAGAGGTCATCTTTGATCAACAGAGACCGAATTGTGTTTCATCAGGACAATGCCAGGACACACACGTCTTTAGTGACGCGCAAGAAGCTCCAGAAGCTCCGATGTGAGGTCCTAAAATACTTACCTTATAGTCCGGACCAGTCACCAAGTGATTATCATCTTTTTCTGTCCATGGCGAACGTGCTTAATGGAGAGAAATTGGCCTCAAGAGAGGCCTGTAAAAATTGGCTCTCCGAGTCTTTTGCCAATAGGGACGAAGCCTTCTACGAGTATGGTATAATGAAGTTGAAATCTCGTTGACTACAAGTTTACGAACAAAACGGCGGATATTTGTACACAAAGTTATCATATTTTTAAAAATCAGTAAGAAAAACCGAACGAACTTTTTACCTGACCAATATTTTGTCAATATTGTTAGTCAGAAAGTTGAAATTTTTTCTATTACTTGTAAATAATATTGGTCAAGGAAAAAATCATCCATTATATTTGCACTAAATTGAAGGCTTTACTTTCTATAGTTAAAACTATCCGATTTATGTCGTATATGCACTGCTTTTGCTTCATAGGATTTCTTTAGGCCAATTCTTCACCAGCCAAATCATTCGCCGTTGACAGGAACAGACGGTAAGCACTTGTTACAAGGTTAGAACTATACGGTGGATCTATAAGAACCACCCAACTAAGCTCTCCTCGCTTCTGGCGAGTCACTATATGTGAGCTAGACCACACACATTGTTCTGATGAAACACAATTCTCCTACTTTTGACCAAAACTGGGTGCTTAAGGGCTATAGCTCAATAAAATTGCTAATAGTACAGATCCGATTTAAGAGTTTGCCCGTAAGGGTGCAGCTCATAGGAAATGATTTCTTGCCAGTCCCACCAAACACACAAAAGAAAACTCTCCTGGTCACAAATCTTGACTTTTAGACCATTTTTACCGGCTCACTACCCTTCAAGCATGATCGTTTTGAATTGACATTGCTGTGAGTAATCCACTTTTCATCACAAGTCACCAACCACTCTAGAAAATTTACCATTTTGCTACGGTTCAACGTCGTTTCGCTGCTGGAAACTCAATTCGTGAGATTATTTCTCATTGACTCGTGTGGCACTCAGTTGCAATGCAGAAATTGGTGTAAAAAATTGAGCTATTGGGACAAGCTAGTGATGTGAAGTATAAAACATGTGCACGTCGCTCAAGAACAACTGAGAATATTGTTGCAGTAGCCCAAAGTGTTGAAGAAAGAACCCCAGGTTAGTCAATTCCTAGTGGTTCTTTGGAATTGGTCACTTTACAAACGTGATTAGATCGTACTTTACAAAAAGATCTGGATCTTAAGACTCAAAAAGTTCAGTTAACACAAGAAGTCAAGCCGGCCGATCATTCACAACGTCGGGTCTTAGCTGATTCGGTCCTTGAAATGCATGAAAATGCACCTCGTTTTCAATTTCTTTCAAAAAAATGGTGACAGTGGCACAAAAGCAACAATGAAAGATAGTGTCTAACCAACAGACCAAAGTCGACTCGAAACCACCAAGATGAAATTCGTGAAACTATTGAGGGCATACAGCAGCTACTTTGAGACTTGGTGATGGGAAATTTCACAAAACGAATGCGATCTTGTATTGTTTTCCATTATTAATGGCATATCCTCCTCTTTGCATTTGTCTCAAAATATGCCAGTATATGAAAATAACACCTCTTATTGTAAAACCCTGTATTACTTATAAAATAATTATTATTATTATGTTTAATATGACTTGGTAAAACTCAACGGTATATGGACTACTTTATTATTTTTTTCTATTTGAAATTTTATTTTTCTATTATTTTGAAAGCTGGTCTGACCAGCACTTGAACCTCGGTCTATCGCGCATGCATAGATTTTTTTATGTCATTTATAGAAATGTTTAAATGGCTGAGATATCATCATAAAATGCTCCCTTCATCTTGGTTTTCAGTTTTGGAAATAAAAAANATTTTTTTAATGTTGAAAATTTTCAATAAATGGCGCTGTATGTATATACATAATATATCTTCAATATCCTCTACAGCTCTTCTCCATACCTGCCTGCTTAAGTCTATGTGTAGATATATTTATTTTTTAATGACATATATATGTATGCGCATATGTATGTAAATATTTTTTATATAATTTTTTTTTTAATTAATTAATTTATTTATTTAATAATTAATTTATTTATTACAAACATATATGTTTTCCATAACCAAATGCCTTCTGTTCCAAGCTTTTTTCCTCGTTCAATGAACTGCAGCATGCGTATGATAGCTTTAAGCGATTTTGTATCTAATTGGTTGCTAAGCAACATGTGCATGTGTATGTGGACACACTAAAAACAAATGAATATTCAATAAATTATGAACTACAAATTTTCGAAAATATTTTAATAATTATTTTTTTCTTTTAAAAATTTCTTTCTCTATGCCCAGTTTTGGAGGTGCGAGCATTCGAACGTTTACTGGGTCCATGCATGGAGATCATGAAACGCAATATCGACGACTATGAGACGCAGCTGATTAAAATCTTTGGCACTAAAAACAATATTAGCGATACACGATAAAAAGTCTGAGTTTCAAAAAAAAAAAGAAATATTTAAAGCACACCCACACCAAACACACACATATATACATAAATATACATGCATACGGGTGCATATGTGCACGCACACATACATATACATAAATGTGTAAGAAGAAAAGTTAAAAGAAAAAACTAAATTTATGAACAAAAAAATAACAACAACCATAAGGGCATACATATATACACATACATACACACATAGGTGCAAATGTGTGTCGCATGGCAGGACTGTGAAGGAAATACAACTTTAATTTTTAAAAATAATAATAATTTCATTAAAACTCAGCTCAAACCATAAAAGCAGCCGATTCCCATTAATTAAATACACATATATACATATGTATGTGCATTTGTAGCCATTAGCAGCGAGAGTAATAACGACGACGGCAACAAATGCAACAAAATTAATGAAAAGGAAAGGCAAAGGATGTTTAAATAGACCAAAAAAAAAATAAATAAAACTCATTGAAAACAGTGCAACAACAACAACGGTAATAATAATAATTGTAATAATAATTGACGCAACTTTTGAAATGTTGCACGCACACATACATATAAACAAAGTCAGAGCGTGGGCAAGCAAAAATAAAAGTCTCACATCTACATATTGTACATACATATATGTATGCAAACACTTATATGCATAAGTACATATGTATGTATGTACATATGTATTTACAAACTATATTATAGATTTTTAAGCACAAAAGTTAAGTTATAAAGTCGCGAGTTGTAGACCACAAATAAACAAACATACATACATACATACATCCATACATGAATATGTGTGTACATAAATGCATTATTGCCATAATGAAAACAACAACAACAACAACAACCACTATAACCAATGCTGTGAATAAGTTTATATGCACTCATGCGCACACACACACTTATACACGCACTTACACGCCGCCCACAACCATATAATGACATACATACATACATACATACATATTTACATATAAACACAAACTAAATATGTAAAATAAGAAAGCGGGTATGAGTTTTTTTTTTACTTTAATTTTCTCTCTCTCTCTTTCGCTCAGTTTATAAAGTGGGGAAGTATGGGTGTGAGCCAGGTGCTTGAGATAAAAAAAAAAACTTTGTGTATCATGTTTGTGCTTAATTTTATTTTAAGTTTTTTTTATTTTTGTTATACTGTGGAGCGAAATATTCGAAAAAAAATATAATTAAATTATTAAACTAAAAGAACTAAATAAATACTAAGACTATATAAAAAGCGTACCGTCAAACAAACGTACATACATACCTATGTAAATGCTTAAGAGCAAAGAAAAAAATTATTAAAAACAAAGAGTAAAATTAAAAACAAACAAAAAATATTGTAAAACTAATTCATAAATAAGCAAAAGTTCACGAAATGTTACACAGTGAGCCGTTGAGGCAGATAAACTCTAAACATGGAAAACATACATACATATGTGTGTGAAAAGATTAAATCTAATTTAAATTTAATATACGTATTTATTAGCATAATTAAACGTTTCAGCAATGCGGGCCATTCAAAGATTGTTATTGAGAGCGCACGAATGAAAGGTAGAAAATAAAGCAAAATTTTGCTAAGAAATTTTAAAATGCAAGAATTGAAATAAATACATTAAAAAAAACAATAATAATTTGCAGCAGTTTTTGTAATCACAGACTTCAGCTATTGGGAAAAAACTTATAAATACAAATTGTCTTCTAGCTTTTGTGTAAAAAATCTGTAATAAATACCAGCATAAGCGGCACTCACATACATACATATGTATAAGCAATGTAATAAACAGCTATGGAATTGTGAGAAAAATTTTAATTTAAATGAATAAATATATAAATAATAATAATTGGTTTAATTTCAAACAAAATAAATAAAAAAAAATTTAAAATAATATAATAAATAATAATATAAAATATACCAAAAAAAAATAAAATTCGTTAAATTTAATAAAACAAAATAAACTAATATAAAAAAAAATGTGTGAAATAAAATGAAGTCAAATAAAATAAAAAAAAATAAAATTAATTAAAATAAAATAAAATAAAATAAAATAAAATAAAATAAAATAAAATAAAATAAAATAAAATAAAATAAAATAAAATAATATAAACAAATATAAAATAAAATAAAATAAAATAAAAAGAATCAAATTAAAATAATATAAATAAAACTAAATAAAAAACAAAATAAAATAAAATAAAACAAAATAAAATAAAATAAAATAGAAAAAATAAAATAAAGCAAAAGGGAGGAAAAGAAAAGATAAGAAAAGGAAGGAAAAGAAAATAAAAGGAAAGAAAAGAAGAAATAAAAGAGAATAATAAAAAATTAAAGAAAAAAACCAAAATAAATAAGAAAATGAAAGGAAAGAGAAGATAATAAAAGCAAAAAAAGTAAAAGGAAATTAAAGATAATAAAAGAGAGGAAAATAAAATAGAAAAAAATATTAATCAAAAATAAATAATCGAAAATTAGAATAAAATAACATAAAACAAAATAAATACAAAATTTAAGCAACACAAAATGAAATAATAAAGTTAAGTAAATTAAATTATATAAGATATAGTAAAATAAAATAAAAAATTATAATTAAATTTAATAATAAATTTAAGGAATAAAATAAAATTAAAAGAATATAATAAAACAAAATAAACGAAATTTTCAATTTAAATTTTAAATTAAACATAATAAAAGTAGAAAACAAATAAAAATTAAAAATATAAACTAAACAACTTTATTTAAGATAGTAAGGAATTTAAATAAAATACAAAATAAGCAAAAAATAATAATTACATAAATAATAATAAATAATAATAAATATAATAAAAAAACATAAAGTAAAAAAGTAAAAATAAAAAATATAATTAATTTAAACAAAAAAACTAAATAAAAAAATTATACATAATATAAGATGAAATAAAAACTAAAATAAAAATAAAATTAAATATAATGAAACAAAAACGCGAATTAAAAAAATAAACAAAATAATAGTATAAAAGTAGGAAACAAATAAAAATTAAAAATATAAACTGAAATGAATAAAAAAAATTAATAATTTAATTAAAATGCAGTAAAAAAAAAACTAAATAACATAAAGTATATAAAATGAAAAAAAAAATAAAATAACATGAAAAGTAAAAACAAAAAATAAATTAAAAAATTTTAAACAAAAAAATGAAATAAAATAAATTATAAAAAAATCAATTAAAATTAAATAAAATAAAATATTACAAAATGAGACGCAATAAAAAGTGAAATTAAGTAAAATAAAATAAAGACAACAGAAAATTAAAGTAAGATAAAAAAATCAAAGAAATTAAAAACTATCATAAAATAAATTAAAAAATACAATAAAAAAATTTAAAAAATAAACTTAAATGAAATAAAATAAATAAATAAATAAAAACTCTAAAATTAATTAAGTTAAAATTAAATAAAATATATTAATTTAAAAGTAAATTAATAAATAAATTTAAAATTACATGAAATAAAATAGAGAATAAATGAAGTAAAATAAGTTAAAACGAAAGAACATAAATAATAAAATAAAACAAATAAACCACTTAAATTAAATTAAATGAAAATATAAAATAATTAATTTTAATTTAAACACTTAAAATAAATTTGAGCGCATTTAAAGCAAATAAAATAAAATGGAATTAAATAATGTGAGCAAAATAAAGTAAAATAAATTGAAAAGTCAAGTAAGGTAAACAAATTTAACAATAAAATAAATTAAAAACCAAAAAAGTGAAATAATAAAAGTAAACTTAAAGTGTAGTTAAAACAAAGTAAAATAAAATTTATAAAATTAATATAATTACATTCAAAAAAAGGAAAATAAGTTCAAAAATTAACTAAAATAAATATTTATTTTGGACAAAACTAAAAGTAAAGTACGGAATCATTGATGGCTAATAAAAACCGAGTAAATATCATTTAGTCGTTTAAGTACTACCACATACTTAATTGCTTACAACAATAACAAAGAAACATACATATGTATGTATTGAATTGGTGTGTATGTATTATTATTGTTATTATTATTATAATTATTATTTGGGCATAAAAACAGCATATCTACCAACACAAGCGAAACCTAAGCATCCAAAACCAGACCAAAACATAAATATACAAATGAAACAAATAAAACTAAAATTTTAAAATAAAATGAAAATGAAATTGGAAAATGCATGCATTTCAATGGAAAATATAAATTAAATTAAATAAAAACTATTGTTTGATTTATTTAACAGAGTGTAGAACTTAGCGCACATTACATCATAGATTGGTATGCGAACGCCACTTGAAAACTGCATATCACCAGTAAAGACTTTTTATATTTGTTTTTGAGTCAAAACCATTTGAACATGCAATTTGTTTTACATACCTTCGCCTTTGTTCAGGGGGTGCCAGTCTCGGGGGGTTTATTTCTGACATGATAGTCCGTTTGTTGGCAGAAAGTGAGTGGTATTCGGGTATTCTGGGGGAATGCTTTACTGTCTTAGTTTCATTATTTCAATTGATTTTCATGAGAGATTTTTTAAAAAGATTTTGAAAATTTAAAACTAATTTCTAATAAACATATTGAATAGGGGGGGACAGTCAAAGTTTCAAAAATCTTTTTAGTACGTTTTCAACATTAAAATATGTCAATCATTAATTCCATTTGGAGAGCAACGTTAAAACTTGATTTTTTCAAATGTCGCATTTAATAAAAACATTCAAATTTTATGGAAAATATCCTTGGCGGCCGCAATAGCCGAATGACTAAGAGTGTGAGGTAACTTTCATAAGGTCCAAAACTATAGAAAATTAATTTTTCTAACAGCGGTCGGCCTTGGCAGATAATGTTAAGTCCTCTGAGTGTATTTCTGAGATGAAATAAAAGCTCCAGATAAAAATTTATCAGCCGTTCGGAGTTGACTTACCATAAACTATAGCTCCTTCCACTTGCGGGAAGACATCAAAAGGCACACCACAAATTGAGGGAAGAATTGGGCTGAAAATTCATTTAGCATATTCAGAACGTTAATTATATATATGAATATATAAATTCCAATGAAAAAGTCTGAGTACGGAAACGAGACTAAAAGATTTTACGTTCGATACAGAAATCTCTCTCTCTCTCTCTCTTCCTCTCTTATACAAGGGGCGGTAAACTGCCATATAAGAAAATGGAGAAAAAATCGTCGGTAGTGGAGCTCTACGAAATAAAGCAACTAAAATTTTATTTAAAAAAAAGAGGTATTTTTCTCTCAATTGAAATACGAAATTCGACGAAATATGTAATGGATTGAGTGTTGCCATCTGTAAAATTTCTTCATTTGTAGATAACAAACGCAAACTCAAAATAAAGTAAATCAAATATGCAAGGCATATAAACAAGCTTACTGTTATGTTATTAGTGTGTAGGTAAATAAATAATAAGAAAGAAACAAACTTACCATTTTACATT